GCAGCCGCTTGGACTTCTGACCGTGGCTTTCTAGTATAGGACGGTCAATGTTTGGTCATGTTGGTAAGATACGGGGTTCTATAGAGAAGTGACCACCTTGAGTAACAAGTTTACGATTCTATAGTGTTGTTCATTGCATTTTTTGGCATCTCAGGAGCCAGATTGGGAACAGAACAAGAGATCTCCTGTTGGCAGCAATGCTTTTGACAACGATGAAGCCTTTCTGATTACAGTAATGTGTTCATATGTTTTCTTTTTTCTTAATTAAACTATTGTATAACGTTACAATATGGTTTGTATAATTTTATAGCATTTTATACATAAATTTTCAATATACATAATATATCATAAAATGTATTGAACGCCCTCAGTCTCAGGATTTTGATTTCCCGCCACTTCCTCCACCCGTAGAAGCACCACCAAGAGAGAAGAGAAGTTTGACGAAAGAGGTATCCTGCTCCATGGATGAACCCGACGAACTGAACAAGGTCCTAGATGAGATGAAGCAGTCCAATTTATGCAAGAAAGTCAAGCTTGAGAAGGTGAAGAGGGAGAGAGAGCAACCTAGCACTTCCGTCCCGGATCAGCCTCCGAAAGAATGTGAACAGGATCCATTGCCGACAAAAGATGATGCAGAACACAAATCCAATCCAAGACTCGCAAAGATGATTGAAGAGTATGCCCAGCTGGTTGGACAGAAGGGATTTTACTTGGATGTGGGTGATGCACTGCTCTTCGCGGAAGACAGCAACAAGGACATTGCCTTGTGTATCCACGCTTCCGGTGGAGAAGGAGGTATTTGGCTGGGAGACCTCCAACACCACATTTGCTCTTTTGTTCCTGGAATCGATGTCATAGGGGATCAGCCGATCATACAGCGCAACAGTCCTGAAACATGGGTGCTCCTTTCAGTGAACGCTCGATTTGACACCACGCAGGTTCACAATCACTATATGCCAGGCTTCTTTCGTGAGCAGTTGACACCAAAACTATACAAGGAGCTCACAGAAGACAAACTGCAAGCTGAGGCGATCCAAATAGCACATCTGCAGAAAGAGATTGAGGGAATGCAGGCAGTTGACATTGGCAGCTTCAGAGATGAGGCAGAAAGGAGAGATCATGAGCAGGCAATGGCAGAAGCGCAGGAATCATTAGCTGTGCCACTTGCTTGATTTGATGTTTTCCAGCATTCCAGTGATTCATGTTTCAAGTTTTCTATTTTATAGTGATCCAGTGGTTATAACATATTGGGTTTTTCATTCTATAGTGAATGTGTTTGCAATTGGACACCATTTTGTAATATTTTGTACCTATGATTCCTATCCGCATCCTTTTGTTGTCTTCCCTCAGGTTGGAGCGGTGCACAGAATTGAGGAGATGCTGCTACGAGACAGGCCTGGCATTCGTGGAGGTGCCCTCCGATGGCAACTGTCTCATTTGGTCACTACGCACACTCTTCATGGGCCTGGAGCATTGCCGTAGCCATTCCAAAAAAAGATGCAAAGAAGGATCAATCGTTGTTCCGTACATTGCTGAAAAAACCTCTGGATCGATCGCAAGGATTCACCATTATGGCAAGTGATCTGGGAAGCTCTTTGTAGCGAGCTTATGCAAAAGCCAGAGGAGAAAGACAAAGCAGACAAGCCAAAGGTGAAGAAGGAGCTTGGGACAGAGGAGAAACTCTGCACGCCACCCAAGGCTGCACGACATGAGCCAGAGCTTAGCGGAGAGAGAAAACTGAGCACTCCTCCACGAGTTGAGAAAGCAAACAAACGCAAGTTGATCCAAACGGGGAAAAACCATGCAGCTCCAGGATTTGGTCCAAAGGAAGCTGAGAAGCAGCTGAAAGCTCCCAGGCCTGCTGGACAGAACTTGTTGGAACCAGCAATTCCCGACCTCAGAAATATGACTACAGAGGCTTTTGAGAAAGCAATGAATTCAAAGAAGTCATCCCAAAAGACGGAATTGAAGAAGCCGAAGCCCCATGAGAAGCACCTTGAGCCCAAAGAAGAACAGGAAGAGGACCAACCATTGAATGGAACAGTTGTGCTGATGGAGGATGATGACGATCAGGATGATTTGGACATGGCAGAGTGGGATTCGGGAAGGAAGCGCAGGAGGACAGCGAAGTTCACTCGAACATGCCAGAAGAAGCTGCCATCAACAAGTCAGCACAAGAGCGCTGCTTTGTCAAATTGGCTGGCACGCAAAGGCCTGACCTACCAAATTTTTGTACTCAAGCACCGCAAGATTGCCACAATGAAGCGGACTTGGATCTGCCACAATGACGGCTTTGTGATCTTCAAGAAGAAGCTTCTGGATGGGACGATCTTTGAAGGTAGGTGCAAGGGTTGCTCGCTCGCTTTGGAAGAGTGTGAAATCACTGTGGAGTCCATGCAGAACTTTGAAACGGACTTTAGCGGCGAGGCAGCAATTACTGACCACAAGGAGGAGAAGCATCAGCCAGAGCAAACGGATGAGAAAAGTAAGAAAAGAAGGAAAAGAAGACAGCAAGCCGAGGAGGAGATTCTGCTTGAGTACAAGAAGTGCGTTGAGTATGTCAAGGACCAGGGTGGCAGCGAAGTGGAGTTTGAAGAAACTAGTCCTCCACCTTCAGTTCTACACTACAAGTGCAAGGTTTGCAGAACGAAAGGACATCCAGATGGAAAGATCAACTACCTGGGTCCACCAAAATTGAACTCGGTGCAGTTCTATTTGAAGCAACACTTAGAGTGTCCAACCCATGTGCGGAATCGGAACCGGATGAAGCTGATTGACGGACAAGAAGGGAAAGACCCATGTGAAGATAGGTGCCCAGGGTATTGGGTGTCAGACAAGAATCCATTCGCCACTGGAACCCTGTACCACTACGAGACCGAATTCCAGCTTTGGTGCACAAATGCAAAAGTAGATGGAGAGATGACACGCCACCATTACTATAGTGATTTGGCACAAGGTCGGTGGTATTGCAGACATCGAAATTGCAGTGGCAAAGTATCCCAGAAGCAACAAGCCTGCACAGCGTGCCAAAGCCTAGGTGAGTGTGGATCAGTCCAACGTCATGTGCTCCGCTTTGCTACAAAGTGGTATGCAGGGATATTGCTGAACAAACGCTTGTTTCAACCTGCGGAAAGTGCTTCTGAATTCTTGGAGAAGCTGCAGAACTCAGCTTTCGGCGCCAGGTGTTCCTTGTGGTCTTCCGTGGTGGCTTTGGACAACGCTGAGCTGCAGCAGTGGGTTCGCAAATCATTTGCAAAGAACGGTGATGCCACAGACAACCTGGTGAGATCTGTGGATTCGATTGTTAGCCCTACTTTGCGGGTGCACGTCGGCAGCATCGATTGCCGCATGAAGACTCTGTTTACGCAATTTGCCTCTGCAATTGACACGAATCAGCTTGATGCGCCTCAGATTGTTGATTTTATAGTGTGTTTCTTTACTTTTGATTTCTTTTTGACAATATAGCAAAGAAATGCAAATAATAGCCAGGACATGCAAGGACATGTTACTGTAATACTTTCCTAGGATTTCCTCAGATTTACTGTACTATTTCCTGTATAACCATGTATAACTTATTTATAGCATTTTATAGCAGATTACTTTGTTTTTATATGTTTTTATATTTGTTTTATCATTTTTCAATATTGTTTATCTATATTTTATATTCATAAAGTATCATTTTATATCTATATTTGTGTATTATTGTTCACAAATGTTCATTTTATTGATTCTATAGTCATGTACCGTAACCTTTTCTAAATGATCGATGATCAATCATTGTTCTCATTTACACTCCGACACCCAGGAACTGAAGCAGATCAATCTGAAGCTGGCCTCTGCCATCATCAGTGGAGCTTTGGATAAGAATGCTGTTGTGCAAGGATTGCTTGCGCAATGTCTCATGGGCTTGGAAAAACGGAGCCGTGGCATCGCGTCAAATCGCGGCAGGTTACCCAACCAGTCTGCTACAGAAAGGAGTATCATCGAAGAAGCCAGCCTCAATCTGGCTTTGCTGGGTGCTAACAAAAGATTAGCAAAGTCCCTTGGTCAGAATCTGACGCTTCCAAGGGTGAGAGTTGAAGACCTTCCCGAGCAAGGCCTCCCGAACCCCATGCTAGCGCTCCATTCCGACCACCAGGAACAACTTGCTTCCAACGTGGAGTTGCTGGACCAACTTTTTCATCGGTCTGAGCAAATGCCGAAGAGGAGGCTTATCCTGGCAATAGACCACACATATTTGGAGCCAGTTCTAGTCCAGGCCCGAGTGCAGGGTGTTGCTGGAACAATTGGTGGTCCTTGGAGCCCAAACGAGGAGAACTTTTGCTTTGTGGAGACGGGGAAGTTGGATCGCGAGGCTCTCAAGATGGGTGGTGCGACAATGATGCTGGAGTGCTTGTGTTGGGACCCTAACTCCCAGAAGAAAGAGACCTACAGCTTGGCATCAATGCCTATGAGCCTCAAGAGATCCAAAAAGATTGACATGACTTTGGTCAAGCAGGGAAACCTAGATTCTCGATCATATTCATATACGGCTCTTTTTTATATATCATTTAAATAATATATTTTTTTAACTATTTTTTAAATCTTTTTTATTTTTGTATTTTATAATATTATTTAATATTATATATACTGTATTCTGTGAAATCGTGTGAGGAAATGGCAACTGTCCTGGGCCGTGTTCTGGAGGCATCTATCAGTGTGGTCAAGGGGATTACGTTTGATGCCCACCAGGCACACACATTGTTTCGGCAGCTGCTTTTCGGCCAGATGGATCAGATCTCGCAGGCTGACCAAGACTATGTCAACGAAGCTCCATTCTGGAAGCACTGCACGTACCGTTCTTTGCCAGAACACGTTTTGCCACGATTGCCAGCTCAGATATGTCTTTATGAAGGCTCAGCAGTGTGGCCATTGCCTGGTCCATGTACTTTGTCGATTCTATAGTACAGTATTTTGTTTACATTAATTTTTTCTGATTCTATTCCTCTATGACTTTACGCGACCTTTCAGTTATGGGAGCACAAAGATCATCAACCCTACTTCTTTGTTCAAGGTTTTTCTGAGTTTATAGTAGTGAATGCTGTCATACTTCTGTTTTTTGATTTTATAGCCACCAGATCTTTGAATTCTGAGGTCATTCATCGAAAAACTTGGCAGGACAGCTGTGCACTCCGATTCGGAACTTGCTTCTGGGGAAATTTTTCGTTGATCACAGCCGGTGCCTCGTCTACGGAATGCCTTCGAGTGCTTACTCTAGGGTGGAGCCGATGAGTGACCTGTTAAACAAGATACTCTGGAATCCCTACCTGGTGCTGCCGGACATTGTTCCTTGCCATTTTATAGCATCTCTATAAGTTTTGCTTTCTTGATTGCAATCTATAGAGCCTCAATGTTTGGTTCAAACAAAATGCAAAAAAAGACAACGATGAGGATATTGCGGAACAACGAGCCCGAGTCCCTTGGGTGTTACGTGGCTTTGTGCTGCTGAACTTGTGCGACGCCTTGACTACTGAACCTGAGCATCACTTACGTATATGTGGTTTTCATTGACATTATATATCATTTTATATCATTTTATAGTGTATTCAAATATCCATTCTGAATGAAGTTGATTTTATAAGAAGACATTTGTGGGCTAGTTAAAATTACTATTTTATACTATGTTCATCTATGTTCATCATACTATTAGACTATATCTTCCTTGTTTAATCTATGCTATTTATATGGTTGTTTATCCAAGGCTCCGACTATGCATCACACCATGACCTGCAGCCAGAGAGTTCAGTCATCGATGGAGGGATTCCTCATCCTGGATTTGTATAGGATCATTGCAGAGATCTCAGCTGCTCGGAATGGATTTCCACGTGGGTCTCAATTCATCTCCCCACAAACGCAAGAGAATCTGCAAATGACTGCAATGAGCACAATCATTGTTGCACTGACCAAAGATGAAAGCGGTGATCCGTACAGCCGTGGGCATGCCAGGATGTCAGAATTGGCGATCGAACAGTGGTTTGGAAGACTGAGGGTTCAGTCATCGTCAGCCAGTCTTTCCACCAGGGGTTACTGGCAGGCGGCCGCGCGGGATATGCTACGAGCTTTCAAATCTCGTGAACCCAATGGCCCAGCTCCGGAGCAGAAACATAAGCCATTGGATGATGCCGAGTTCAAGGCCTGCAGTGAGAGAGCATTGGAGGCTGCTTTGGCCCTTGTTGCGCACACCAGTGGAGTCACTGTGTCTTCCCTCACGGAGATGTACGATGAATGGTGCAAGTCCGGACGCTTCACTGACACTTGTGCAGCTGCAGCAGTCTCGCCTGATGAGGTGGATATTGACGAGGATGAAGGCGATCAGGAAGAGCTGGATGAGTGTCAGCGTGTCCTCCGTGATATCGAAGACAGTATGGGTGTCCTTGAAGATGAAGGTGAGGGTGAGGGCGAGGACAGCAGATCTGAAGGCTTTGGATTCGGATTTGCGGAACGCACCAGACAAGGACCAACTGTTGGAGATGCTGACTTCTGACGCTCAAAGCCCAATGAAGCCTTTCGCGCAGAAGCAGACAGGCCCCGACTTTGATCCAGGTTCTGTTCCCAAGACTTTGCACGAGGCACTCTTCAAGGACCCTGATGCACTGAAAGGGTCCATTATCTGGGATAGGCTTTGGAGACTCCTGATGTACCAGCGATACTGGTGCGGCGGAGGGGACAGGTTGTGGATCAAGAATCCAAGATCTTGCAGAAAGGCATCTTCTGGACTGTCCTGGTACCAGCCCCTAGTATGAACACAGACAATTGCTTTTGAAATCTTTTGGATACTTTCGGATGAATCTGTAGGAAACTGTACTTTGTACAGCGGGTGACGGGTGCACCTGCAGTTCATTGTTTTTCTTGGGGGGATTCTGAGGTACAATGAGCGCATTCTCCGTGAGATCAACCAGAAGCAGAATTCCGCGGAGTTTCGACAACGTGCAAGCCGGCTGGACAAATGGAAGATGGCAGCTCGTGCTTCGCTGGAAGGCACTCAGGAGGAGGTCCCAGATAGGCTTGAGCCACTTGCCTTTGCTCTTTGCAGTCTTCTCAGTTTTCTGATTCTATAGAGTTGTTTTCTGCAGGCTTCTCAATTTGCTGATTCTATAGAGCTTTCTTTGAAACAGTAATGAGTAGACACGATTCTATAGATAATAGATGTATTTAATATTGTTTAAATTTGTTTAATATTATTGTTTTATCTATTGTTTATATTGTGATATATTGTGTATAGAATTGTTTTTTATATTCTGACAATGCTTGTTTTGATGTAAGGAAAGGGAACATCGTCATTGCGGTGGTGCCGAAGCGATCTCACCAGAAGACTTGCCGAGAGGCCAGGGTTTGCATGGTGATTTCTATTTGGAGAAGTGCCAAGAAGCCCAAGTTGTGCACCGCACCCCTGGGCCTTGCACATGTCCTTGCTTACCGAGCCGTGGAGCTATCACCAGATACCAGCAGTGATCGTTCCGACCAGTGGACATGCTCAGGGAGGTCAACAAGCGTAGTCCTTCGACCTGAGGCCACAGTAGCGCTGCTGGATTTTTCGATTGCTGAGGATTCTGATGAGAAGTTGTCAGTGGTCTTTACTACAGGAGCCATGGATTTGATCAACCGCATGGAGGAATTTGCCTCTTCATGGCCCCAGGAACAACTAGATGTTCGCTTGAATGTGGTCCTGCCACGTCAAGGCAGGAAGCGCAAAGCGCAAGGTGGAGAAGAAGGCAAGGGCAAGGCAGAAGACGAGGATGCACAGGATGCAGATGAGAAAGACAAGGCCGACCAGACGGACGGGGCCAAGAAGAAGAAGAAGAATTCCAAGAAGTCCGGCAAGTCAAAGAAAAAGAAGACGGTGGCAAAGCTCAAGAAGAAGCTCACCAAGTTGAAGGCAGCCCCTGCCGAGAAGCCGGAGATTCCCTTGGTGGTAGAGAATATGAAGAAGAATTCTTCAGGTGATGAACTCATTCAACAGGAGTTGCAGAAGCTCAAGAACACCGAGTCTTCGACTTTCAAGACCAACCCACTCTTCACAGAGGAGGGTTTGTGCCGGATCAAATCGAAGGGAACAGAAGGCACGCCGTGGAAGCACATCAAGAGCTTTGCCTACAAGTACTTCAAGGCAGAGTAGCTTGGCTTATCTTGGATATCTCGGCTTTATCCTGGATAGATTGTATAAGAAACATCACTTTATAGGGATGCATCTTTTGCCAACACACCCCCCCAAGTCAAATTTTGAATTTTATAGTGATATGTAGTGGTGTCATTCCATTGTACACTAAAGGATGCTATAGCATGCTCAAATATGCTCAACATACCTACAGGATCCTACAGGATCCTAAAGGTAAACAAAGCCTGGAGGTAATGAAGCACCACGGTGTTCCGCCAGTGAGTGTTCAAGAATAATCAAGAAACATCACTTTATAGGGATGCATCTTTGGTCAACACACACTCCAAGTCAAATGTTTGATTTTATAGTGGTATGTAGTGGTGTCATTCCATTGTACACTAAAGGATGCTACAGGGTTCCCTAGCAAAACTTTTTGGACACGTTTTGGGTTCAGTATTTGCTCAGGGGTTCCGTCAGTAAGTGTTCAAGAATATTAACAAAAAACATGATTTTATAGAGAAGAGGCTTTGGCCAAACCCCCCAAGTAAAATTTCAATTTTATAGTGATATCATTCCATTCTACAGTAAAGGACGCTACAGGATGCTCAAGAATGCTCAAGATATCTACACGATCCTTAAGGTAAGCAAAGGCTGGAGGTAATGAAGCACCACAGTCACAGTGCACCAGCAGACACACAAAGGGCACCGGTCTGGATCTGATTGGAAAAGTGACCAAAAGAGGTTGTGTACATATAGAAATGAAACAAATCTTGTTGGGTTCAGTATTTGCTCAGGGGGTCCGTCAGTAAGTGTTCAAGAATAATCAAGAAACATGACTTTATAGGGATGCATCTTTTGCCAACACCCCCCCCAAGTCAAATGATTTATTTTAGATGATTTTATAGTGTTATGTAGTAGTGTCATTCCATTGTACGCTAAAGGATGCTACAGAATGCTCATATGCTCAACATTCCTACAGGATCCGAAAGGTAAACTAAGCCTGGAGGTAATGAAGCACCACGGTGTTCCGCCAGTAAGTGTTCAAGAACAATCAAGAAACATGACTTTATAGGGATGCGTCTTTTGCCAACACACCCCCCCAAGTCAAATTTTGAATTTTATAGTGATATGTAGTGGATTGTAATGGTATCATTCCATTCTACAGTACAGGATACAGCATGCTCAAGATATCTCTACAGGATCCTTAAGGTAAGCAAAGGCTGGAGGTAATGAAGCACCACGGTGATCCACCAGTAAGTGTTCAAGAATATATAGGAATGAAATGGAATGAATAATATTACATAAATTTACATAATCAATATTAATCAAGAAACTTGACTTTATAGAGATGCATCTTTGGCCAACACCCACCAAAGCAGATCTTTGATTCTATAGTGATCATATTTTTTTTTGTCTTGAAGAAACATATTTTTATAGAAAGATCTCTGTGAGGTACATCAGATTGAGGAAGCAGGCGTGGGGAGAAAAAGTTGTGGGCACGTTCAAGTTCATCAGGGAGAAGTTGGCAACCAGCGATCGCCGACCGCTGCTGAACCTGATTCGCAACATCTGTGAGAGCTGCCCTTACAATGCAGCAGACATGTAGCTTGGCATCTAGTTGTCTCACTTACAAACAGACGATGGGGAGTCTGCGAAGAGAAAAAAGAGCCCCTAGCTGTGCAATTCCTTCTTTTCTTCTATTTCTGTTGACGTTTGTTCACAAGACGTGCCTATAAAATGACTGGTTGTTCCGGAATGTTCTCTTTCCTCCTTTTTTTCTTACTCGCCCATCTATCGTGATTTCAGCAGAAGTGATTTTATAGAGAGGCCTTTCTTGGCAAACTTGTGAGTTTAGCCAGGTTCATTGTCTACTGGATGGATTGTATTCTATAGTCATTCCAGTGCTCCTTGCTTCTATACACTTTGATTCTATAGGGTGTCACTCCCCCCCCCCCAACGAGGTTTATAGGCTATAAAATGCTCGGCATGGGCTTGACCTCCAATTCACACGGGGATGCTGGTATAAGTAACGTACTGTATATCGCAGACCATCCATGTATGCAGTAGTTTGGGGTCATTTTCATGGGGTAAATGATCAATGTATATAAACTGGAACATTATGGAACTATTCCATGCATAGAGTGTTTTCCTGTCTCCTGTCTCTACAATATATTTAAGGTTCCCTGGGATCTCTTGGATCAGGTAGTGTTGGAGTTGTTTCGCTGCTTGTTCCGACCACCTCGTGATATCCGCTCATGAACACTGAAATCTGTGGGGTTCATGATCAATTGCGGGCTGGTGGCATCGAAGATGCGTTCAAAGGGTTCTATAGCATGGTTGTAGCTAAGATGAAGTGTTTTTTTCCAAATTCTGGCAGCTGGGTGCTTCTTGTGTCCTCTCAACAAGGCTGCGATGTCATACGGCTGGGAAGCATCCAAGAACATCAAACAACACAACTGGTGTCCACCATGCTCGCAACTGCGCCATGCTGACTGGGGCAACCGAGCAGGGCTGCCGAAGTTGGGCTACGAAGCGCGAGCTCATCGAAGGCCTCAAGCTGGTAGAGGAGGGATTTGCACGAGCTGGAGGATGGCAGCCCGTGCAACAAAAAGGAATGACGGAGGACTGTCAGCCGCGGCGCATGCGCTGGCAGTTGGACAGGTCGCCCGCGTTGGTCACACCGTACAGTACAGCGTTGGAAGGTCTTAGCTCTGCGTTTTGCCGCCAGCAGAGCTGGGCATCACGGCGGAGGCGGCTTGGGCCGCGACATCACGAGAAGTTCCAAGTTGCTGGAGACCTCCGAGCTGGTTTTCAGTGCTGACCTCATCACCTGTCCTGGAGTGAACGAGCGGAGCTCCATGGAGCTTCCCGAAGAAACTGGTCGGGGTGGCCATTCCTTGTCCTTCAAATCCAACAGGTGGAACGTTTGGTCGAAACGGCATCCGGCTGTGCAGTCACTGCAGGTTTTTGGAGACACTCTAGATCACTCTAGCTATCTCTAGCTCAATTGTGATGGCATACTAGTTCATGGCTGTCACAACAGTTTGACGCACTCTTCCTGCATTAATAATACTCCCGGGATCCTGTATGAATCGACACGGGCGTCCCGGTGTCCCGTCAAGGTGCCACCTTTTTTTCGCCACGGATCAATCGCAGACACTCCATGGGACTGTCATATTTGGTATACAGTGGTTTCAGAGTAGATGGCACAACCCTGTATACATGTCCTTTAGATGGGGGTCCATAGTTGCACCATCCAACTTGGGGTCACGAACGTGCCATCTACTCTGAAACCACTGTACATGGAGCGTCTGGGGGTTCAGAACGTGCGATCCGTGTGGAGTACCATCCGTCCGCCTGGCCCGGACCGTCTGAAGCAGGTCGGCAGTTGACCAGGCCTGGACCGTTCGGAGAAGGGAAGCCGTGTCACAAGCCTAGACACGAAGCGACCGGGGGATGACAAGGATTTCTTCTAGGGAGGCTGCGTGAGTGAGACGGATGTTGCTTTTGCATGAGTTTTGCTTCAGATTTTTTGTTGAATGTGAGACGTGAGACTGAACCCTCGTAGTAAAGTTGGATGCTTTGGCTGCTTGGTATCGAATTTCTGAGCAATTTGGTTGTCACTTGATTTGGTGGAATAGCACTAGGGTTTCCCCACGCAGCAGGTTGTATAGTATAATTAGGGACTCACACTTTGACGGCACACCGCCTCTTGCACAAGATGATGGGAAATGGGGCACCACTAGCCATACATGTTTTCTTCCACCATCATCACTACCACGTGCCTTTTTGGGCCTTTTGGGTGACCTTGCCGTGTTCTTCACGACTATTCTCAGTGCCTGCCTGGGACGGAGTGGATGACCCCAACAAATTTGTCAGTGCTATGTGGGCTCCAAGTGGATCGAAGGGCTGCAGACTCCTCAGGGCTGCAAATTTCTGGCTAAGAGGCTTAGCTTAGCTGCCTGTGGGTAGGGGCAACCCATCTTAAGCACTGAGTGGACCCCCATCTCAGTCAGACACCTTGGGGGTTTTGCCGCCATCGAAGCTGAATCGAAGCTGCGAAACCACTGCAAATTCGGCCATTCCGGGGACGATCGGGACAACGACGTCGGGTGATTACAGGATGGTCCGACACGTTGGTAGCCCGCAGTCGTGGTCGTTTCGGTGGTTTCGGTGCCCCAAACGGAAGGCCTTTCAGTCCCGTCGCTGTTTGCACCGAGGTTTGGCGCTTTGGCGGCTATACATAGGGTTGGTCCCATCTAAACCTGTAGAGCCGTCAGGTTTCACCAGCAAATCACCCTTTTTTGAGCAAGGCCTGCAACCTGGCCTCATCATCGTCCATTGGGCCCAGGTAATAGGATAGCGCCCAAGCTGAGATCCTAGAATGAGGTCACTTAGTCCCTAAAGAGGTCACTTAGAGACTCCAAAGAGGTCACGTACTGAAGGTCCAGGCCCAAGTTTTTCAATTCGATGGTGGTTGTTCCCCTTGCATCCCCTTGCCCCTTCCCACAACTCCAGAACTAGCTGCTGGATCAAACAGAGCTAGGCACCAGGAGTCTCTAGTCAAGTGACCGAAGGTGACCGGTCGATCTCTTTGCGGTCCGAGTGAGACCTCAGCGGTGGGTGTTCGCGTCGAAGGACACATCTCGTTGAAAGGCGCATTCGAGGAAGCCTGCAGGTCTTCATCGTGTGGAACCCAAAACTTATTTACTAAAACAAACAACAACTGCATGTGCCAGGGCCCCCCGGATAGGGGTGGTTAATGGATCCCTCAACCTCTAAGGAGCTATAATTGGACAACCAAAGCTTATTTTAAACGACAACAACAACAACTGCATCGTGTGTGTGTGTGTGTACCAGCACCCGCAGTCGGGGTGGTGAATGGACACCCCTTTTTCACAGCTAGTTGGAGCTATAAATAGACACCCCGACCAGGAGGGTCCTGGTGTGTATGTGTTGTTGTTTGTTGTTTGTTTTGTGTTGTTGTTGTTGTTGGATCAATTGATCGGTCTTCCACCACC